AAAAAAAAAAAAAAAATCGTGAGCATGACACTGCTCTGGGCAGGGCAAGAGCCCCAGCCCAGACACAGAAGGCCATGAGGTGCAGGCCTGGTTCAACTTGCTGTGGCCACTGTCCCAGCCTGTCAGTGCTGAAATCAGGCACTTGTCCCTTCAGCAGTCTCTGTCACGTGAAAGACACACACTTGCTTGGTGCTTGGTCCACACGGATCATGGTGCAGGCTGCAAGGATCCCACTCCACACTGAGGCTCCAGGCCTCGGGAGGACAGCCAAAGGCTGAGCGCCACGGCGGCCGGTCGCCAGAGGCAGTGGCAGCAGGAGGGAGCACGCACCAAGGCCCTCTGCACTCGACCTCCTGCACAGACTCTTTTCAAACGTGGGCCTGTGCGGCCGCCTAGACAACTTCGGCCCTGGCCCTGTGTCCAGCCACATGGCCAGCTGCACAGTTTGTGGCATCAGCTCTCTCCCAAAGCAGATCCACCTGCGCAGCACAGCAGCAAGCACCGCGCTCTTCTCAAGCACCGCTGTTTTGGCTCTTGGTTGCTGGGTCTTCCTCTCCTCTTCCCTATGCCCTCTCCAGATTCTACCCCAGAAACTCCGTGGAGCACCCCACGTGCTCCAGTCCAGGCTGGGGAACACGGCGCTCCAGGCCCCTCCCTGTCCTGCAGTAACTGGACACTGCGTCCTCTCTGAATGCAAGTGCTGCTGAGCTTGAGTACAGAGGTGAGGTCTCTGGCAACGACCTCAAGCAGCTTTCTTCCCACGGGGCGCAACTGCTGCCCCTCCAGCCCTCCCACATCAGACCCCAGCTGCTGGCATGCACAGCCCTCAGAACCGTGAGAAACAGGCTTCGGCTCCCTGGAGATCACCCCACACCACACGGCTGGCTGGCCTGCCGGGGAGAAATGGTGGTTTTCTCCAGCAGCGTGAGAACAGCGTGCAGCCTGGTATGCCAGGCACTCCTGAAAGCTCCTTTCCCACTGGGTGGATGCGGCTGATGCCCTGATGACAGAGAGGCCAGACAGACAAGGCAGCGTCCCCACTCTGTGTCTCCCACTGCCACAGATAAACTATGGCCCTGAAGTTCCCCGGCGTCCCCACTCTGTGTCTCCCACTGCCACGGATAAACTATGGCCCTGAAGTTCCCCGGCAGGAGGAGGATGCCACGGGAACAAAAGACCTTTCCCCAGGGATGCGCCTTAGGGAGAAGCAGCGACTCAGTTTCCAACCTAACTCTCAGGTCTGGACAGGGTCTCGGCAGGGTTCAGCGGGGTGACGAGAGCCAACTCTGCACCCCACACAAGGAGCCAGCATGCACAACTCTCAGTTAATCACGGAGCAGAAAGCTGAGGTGTGACGAGGCTCCTGACACAGCCAAGAGCCACAGGCCAGGGGAGCCTGGGCTACACACGCTCACACTGCACAGGCAGGCTCCTCTCTTACCAGTATCACTTCAAAAATGAGTGGGACCAGTTTGCTTTCTTCCACAAGTCTGTTTAAAAAAAAAAGAAAGAAAACAACCACTTATTAGAAAAAATATATATGAACCATTGCGCTAACATAGAGCACGAAACCTCATGCAATTTTAATTGCTGAATTCTATGACTGGGAAACCGCACAATTAAATACTCTTTTTTAATACACTGAGCTGCAGCTATTAAGCACATGAAATATGGGGCTTCTCTGAAAGCTGCAGCTGGCTTTGCCTTATTGATCAGCACAAAGTGAACTATCAAGTAGACTGGTATTTTTAATGTGCAAATTAATTAAAATTCACAATAATTACAAAGGCTATCAAAAAAGGTAAAGCTGGCTGAGAATGAAGCCAGCCCTCGCCACACTGCTGAATTATATGAGGCGACAGTGTCATTTTTATATAAGCCTCATTAGCTGTCTTCTCGGCATTAATGAATTCATTCCAATAAATTTTAATGATCCTTAATTTTCAAGAAATTAGACATCAATCTCCCAATACATTCTAGGCTTTATTTCTTATCAAATATAATTAAAAGTTGTCATCAGTTATAATTTTATGCAATTTAAGAGAAATAGCTTTGATAAAATCAACACCATCCAAAAGGCACAGTGTAGTTTTATGTTTTAAATCAGAACAAATCTTTGACCTCTAAATACTTTTATCCAAGACTTGGTAAACGCTTCCCAGTAGCAGGCCAGACAGGGCCATCTGACCCTTTGCAGGCCCCAGTCTCTGAGTGGCCACTCCACTCCATCACTGTCACTAAAGCGGCCACAGTGGAAGTGGGCAAGGGCTGGAAAAAAGCAGGCAGCAGCCCACTGCAGCAGCTCAGCCCTGCTCCGCGCAGGGGGACCACATGCCTGCAGCACACTGCACTGGAGTCACTTTATAGGGTCACCCACATAAAGCAGAGGGCGACTGGGAGTCACACAGCCTCGCGGGGCTGCTCTGTGGTACACAGATGAAGAGAGCCTGTGACACCACTGCACTGCCACGGGGCATTTATGACAGGTATCCAGGGAAAGTGGCAGGCATCTGCCCAGGGTGAATACGGCACCGGAGGCCACTGGTGTCCAGCACTAAACACATCACCCTCACGGCAGCACAGCTCAAATCACCCTATGAGCAGACAGACACACTGACACAGAAAATGTGGTCCATACGCTACGGAATGTTACTTAGCCATCAAAGGGACAGGCATGCTGCCAGTTACACTAAGGGGGACGAATGCAGACCAGGGTGCTCTAAACCACGTGATACACACACAAAGAGAGCATGTGGTCTCCGTGGGATCTGCAGGGGCTAACTCCGAGAGGTACAGCAGGAAGCGCCTGGAGCCGGACAGAGAAGAGGGAGCCGTGGGTCACAGAGGAGAAAGTTCAGCTGGACGGGAGGGTAAGGGCCTGCAAGGCTCTGCAGGGCATGACTGCTGCAGCTAGCAACATCCTGGACGTGTCACACTTCCCCAGGAACAGCTTTTGAACGTCTGCCCCACCAGGAGTGATTCCGAGGGCTGAGTGGGTCAGTGGACTGGCTAAATTACTGCAGGTCTGTGCACCCCAGCACCCCAGCAAGCTCCAAGTGCGAAAGCCTCATCGGTTACAAATTAACCATAATTAAAATAAATCAGCGATGTATTATTCACACAACCTCCATATACGAAGGAGAAAAGGGTCTGATGACAGACGTTCAGTTCAAGTGCATTCTCTCCGCGCAGATGGGGCGTGCAGACTCCAGGTGGAGCCTGATCTCCTCCCGGCTTCCTGGGACGTGGCTGCCTCACGGCCCAGCATGGTATCCCAGAGGCCCAGGCCAGGAAAGTCACAGATTGGGGCAGGCAGGGCTTCTGCAGGGATGGAGACAGGACAGGGACGTCCCCCGCCATCATGATCCAGAGCACTCCTGCAGGCCGCAGAGCACACTCATCGCATAAGAGCCCCATCCACTCCTGGCCAGCATGGCTCCTGCCCTGGCTCTGCCCCTGGCTACAAGGTCTCCTGCAGTCACCTGCAATGGGACACCCAGTCTCTGCGTTTGTGTAGACCCAAACTTCTGCTCTCTGGTCTGGCTCGTGTAATTTAGGGCACCCCAGTCAAATAAAAAGCAAACTCAAGCAAAGTAGAATTTTAGTTTAGAAAGAAATCTCTCCTGCTTCCTAGGACCTACAAACTGACCTTAGGTAATTTAACTCCACAGCAAGGGCGGAACAAGAGGCCACAAACGCTCTAACACAACACTTCTCAGAACTGTGTGAAGTCAGCAGCGGGTACGTGGAGAGACACTTTACAGAGTACTAGTTAGCATTTAAGTTACAACTAACATCTTCCAGAGCGCCCTGAACAGCACTGCTGCTGGGCGTGCTGAGCAGCACTGGGAATGCTTTTTCACTTTTCCCAGGAAGTTACACATAAAATCCAGCGGCCACACATTTGAGGAGGCCACGTTGGATAGCACGCCGAGCTGTCTCATGGTGTGCTCTCTCTAGCATGGCTTCCAAAGATTAGTGTCCATCCATCCACCTATCCTTAGGATCTCCTTGCGTGGTACCACAGGCCTGGCAGAGGCCGAGGTGCTCGGGCCACAAGGTCCCGAGGACAGGTGACTCTTCTCTGTCCAACTGGATGCTCTGAGGAGCCGAAGCCGCTCACCCGCAGGGGATCACTGGGCCACAGCGTCCTGCGCCACTCCTGGGCCCTGGAAAATGAGGTCAGAGGTCACAGTCCCGGCTCTGCTGTGGCTGGGCACTGTGGGGGGGAAGACCACAGTCTGTGGGTGAGGAGACTCCTGAGAGGAGACTGGGCCCTGGCCATGCAGTTCTCCCCAGTGGACGAACCACGACACTGATGGGGAGAGCTGCTGCTGGGAGGTGGGGCACGGTGCAGGTGGGTGCAGACAGCTCTGCCTGGCTCTTCCCACAGCCACATGGAGCCACTGCTCTGCCCTCCAATGCATCTGCCATGATGCACAGGGAGCCAGCCAGGGACTGACACCTCATAAGCCAGGAGCCAGCTAACCTCTACTGCTTGCGCTGTGGGTACCTGATTAAAGTCACCACTAAAATCACCATAGGTCCGAATGACTGCAGAAATCTTGGTTAGCTCTGTTCTGAGCCCGTCTGCAGCACAGAACGTTCACAATGCACCTTCACAGATATCTCAGCAGCACCTGATTACAGAACCAGAGCAGCTGCATGAGTCGCCACGCCCGGGGTCACATGGGCCCCCTGTTGCTAGTTTGTACTGGGGAACAGCGAGTCACACCCATGCCGGCTTGAGAATGCCATTTCCAGCCCCCGACCTTGGTCGCACTGCCCTCCACAGGGCTGCTCTCCCAGAACCACAGCTCGAGCTGCGGGAGGAGCCAAGGGCCAGGGGCCACAGCCAACCCTGCTCCTGCAGCAGCAGCAGCAGCTGCAGGGCCAAGGTCCTTGTGCAGAGGCTGCCGGCCTCCACAGCTTGCCTCCAGCCCCAGCATTTCCAAAACCAGCTGGGGAGAATCTGCTGGACATCAGGTCCCTCCCTGGTCTCAGGTCTCAGGTCTGAGGTCTGGCTCAGGAATCTCAGGTCTCAGGAATCTGCTGGACATCAGGTCCCTCCCAGGCTTCCAGTCTCAGGCGGCCTGGCTCTGGGCTCTGCGCTCTGAGCTGGGTCTGAAGAACTGAGTGACAGCCAGGCCTACGGGGACCGAATCCACATTTTAAAGCAGCTGATCTGGAGACTACCTCTTGCCGTGAGGACGACAGCACTGGGCCAGCATCAGCTGAGGGTGTGCACAGCTCCTGCGGCCCTGCGCACCTCTCCTGGGCTTGCTCACCAGGCCAGCCAACTCTGCCATGCTGCTGGCTGCGCGTGCCATGGGCGCCTTCCAGGAAACGGGTGCATGTCCAGCCGACACAGATGTCGGGCTCCTCAGGGCCTGGGGGCTCACCTTTGCCCTGGGCTGATGGACACCTGGCGACAACCACAGCCTCCTGCTAACATCACTTGCCAGCCTGGCAGGCCCACGGCGGTTACTGTGAACCAGAAATCTCTGAGGTCAAGCTGAGCTTTGAATTACAGAGTCAGTGCAACAGCTTCAAAAAGAAACAGATCCACGATGCTTAGCTGTGGCCTGACACGTCCACCTGAGGGCAGCGACATTCCTGACGCTTCTCCACTAATGCGCTGACAGAGAGCTGCAGGATTCTTCCCCAAAAGGTGAGTACCTAAGGGGCTACTTCTCACACAGGGCAGGGCTGCAGCTCCGCGTGGGCAAATCTGAGGCACAGCCACTTAGCGGGGCAGGCACACATCTGCTCCACAGGACATTCCGGCCCTGGGGAGACAACACTGCAGCAGCACCGTCCTCCTTAAGCAGCAGAGCAAAGGCACAGGGCACAGGGCACAGAGACAGCGCCCACTGCCACCCCAAACACACAGAACTTTAGTCTGAGAAACTGTGTCTTATTTGAAGGCAAGTGTTTCTGCCGGGCGTGATGGTGCATGCCTATAATTCCAGCATTTGGGAAGCAGAGACAGGAGGATCCCTGCGATTATGTGGCCGCCTGGGCTGGGCTATGTAGTAACTTCAAGGCCAGCCTGAACTGCACAGTAAGATCCTCTCTCAAGAAAAGTGGGCCGGGGAGATGGCTCAGTAGAATAGGCGCTTCCCTGGCAAGTGGAGGACCTGAGTTCAATCCCCACTTCCGCAAAAAAGAAAAGTGTTTCAGACAGAAGGAGAAAGAAATAGAAGTTTCTCTGCCACACTCACAGCTCTGCAGAACATGTTTCCACCTTCAGCTTCCTGATATGGCCCTGAAAGCTCACTAATGTCTGTGGACACACAGCCGCAGCATCCCTACCACAGCAGCATGGCCAGGAGCGGGAGCACCCTGGCCTGGTCAGTGCACAGCCCAAAAGATCCTGTGTGCTGTGCCCAGCTGCGGTACCTCCTAGGGCTCCAAGCCTGGCTTCACCCAGGGCTGCCACTGTCCCAGAACAGGCAGTAGAGTCCTTAGTGACCAGTGTGGGGATCCC